TGGGAGGGAAGGGGTTCAGTGCTGGAAAAGCTGCTGAATTTATCCATTCACCTGTTTGGGCTTTAGTATAAGACTAAAATTTGGTCTCTTGAGACAGATGATGGTTCGTGGATGATCTGAGCACCAATGCACAGGGCTGAGGCCATGAAAACTGCCTGTGACAAAATAACATGGATTTGAGGCAGCTGTTGAATGTTTGCTGTATCAAATAATTGTTTTAAATATTCCAGAACTCGCTGTGTGATTTTTTTTTTTTTTTTTAAACCCACTGGTGCAGAAAAGCTTTTGTTGGGAACTTGCACAGTTGTCCAGGAGGATGTTCAGTTGATCTCTCTCTTCGAGGGGAGATTCTTTTCAGGTACTTTTAACTCTAAATATTGTTTTAACACTTACTGTGTTCTCAACCCTGCTGCAGAATATTTTATGTATGAAGGATGATGTGTGTATTTCATGCACTTTTAATTTGCAGGAAGCCTCGTGCACCTCTGTAGCTCCCAAGCTATGAAGGGTTTTCTCTTTTTGTGTGAAGTAAGATGGGCGCTTTCGAAATGTGACACGTTAAAACGTCTTTGCCCATAAAAGATCTAAAACCTAAACACTAATTGTGACTTCTTTGCCTAAAAGCCTCATTTCTGTGATGATGATTTTATATTTGCAGTGTAGTAAACGTTGAGCTTTTGATGGTGGTCCTGTGTTAAATGTGCTGTTTGGTGTTTGCCCAGTTTGCTGATGAATGGCCTGGTTCTGGTGCACGTTTATGACATTACAGGTCAGGTTTTGAAAGCACTGACAAAATCCACCTTGTGCAGCCTGGTTCTAGACATCAGACTCATTAGTTTAATTACAGAGTGTAGCAGTTCCCAGCTGTGGATGATGTCACATCCTATTTATTATGTAAATCACACCTGAATTGAATGGGGGAGTGAAAACGCTGAGGAACTGCAGGTTGAAATGAGAGCCTTCACTGCAAAAGGGCTGTGTCTGCTTTTTTCACTTGATTAATAATCACATTCATCTATTTGGCCTCTGAAACAGTGAAGAGCTGATAATTTACACTTTAAATTATTTTACTGTGGCCTTTAAATCACCCTTTAAATTATTCCTTTCTGTGATGTCCTAAGGACACTTATTTCTGTCTCCCCCACAATGTCTTCCACCTGCTCCCTTTTCTGGGAGATTTGTGGTGAGATTGGGGATGATCAATGAAAAATCAATGGATTATTGAGTATAAACAGCCTCTGGGAGTTGACAGGTTGATTTGGGGACAGCAAAGGAGCTGTTTTGAGTTTGTATTAACAGGAGTTCCACTTGCAGAATTTTCTGTACACTGTGTTGTCCTGTCTGATGATGAGCAGGTTAACATTCCCTCTAGTCCTGGAGATAAATTTCCAGCTTTCCTACTGGATTTTCATTAAATAACATTAAATAGTAGGTTTTAAGCTCAAATATAATTTTAAAGCCTTGAGGGGTTCCTGTTAGGTGAAGTGGAGGTTTGTATGCAGTGGTGTTTAGTAACTTTTAAAGGATTTGGGCAGGGTGAGGAGAGGGTTCCCCAGGTTGCTGTGGATGGTATTTTATTTTTTTATTACACATTCCGAGTGGTTAATAAACCAGAAGATGGAATTGGGAAGCATTAAGGAGTGGTCACATTTTTTGAAGATGGAAAGTGTTTGCCTGCAGTCGCTTCAGGTTGTGTAACCTGTCATAAAGCAAACAGATGATTCAGGAGATTTTTCAGAATCCAAGAAATTTGGATTTCTTACCCAAAGCAAGGCGCAGATATTTTAAGGAATGTTCAGGATCTACTTTTCTCCGCTGATGAGCAAGACAAGGATGGAGGATAAAATCCCTGGAGAACGGATGAAATTGTGTAGGAAACACGAGCCACCCAACCTGAACAAATCCCCCGGGTCGGTCCCTACCGTCCTCCTGCCGCAGGAGGCCGCCACAGCCCGCGCATTCCCCGCGGATTCCCGCTGGATTTCCATGGAGCTCTGTGCTCCACACGGCAATTCCCAGCAGCCAGAGGGATGAGGAACCTGCAGTGCAGAGCTGGGTTAAAACCGGAGGCTCGTCCAGCTGCAGGTCCTGAGTTTTCTGGGCCTGGTTGAGCTGGACAGTGGATTTAGGGATGGTGGAATTCCCAGTTCCAAACCCTGTAATTTTCCCGTGGGAAGGAATAGGAGTGATCAGCTGTAGGCTGTTTTACAGCCTCACATCTGATGTCTTGGTGATTTTTTGGGGAATGAGATGAAGGACTGGGGAACAATTACAGGTTGTTGGACCTAAAATTATGATGCTGTAAGTTAGGGAAGGAAAACTACTTCTGTCACTGATGGAAACACCTGAAGTGCTTGAGGATGTTTCTGAAAAAGTCTGAAATATTCCCAATTTACAAATGAAGAAGAAATCTCATCTGATCCTGTCTGTCTTAATGACAAGGCCAGTAACACCAGCTGCAAACAGAATTTGGGAATGCTCAGAAACTGAGGTTTTGATCAGATTTTAAGCACCATTTGTAGTGCAGCACTGAAAGGTTGAGGCATCAACCTGATATTCCCTCCCCTCACTATTGCCATGGCAAAAGTGCCCCCAGGCAGTGATGCTTTATCAGCTGGGGCTTTTCTGGTCTAAAGGTAATAAAGGTTTAAAAGGTGGCAGACACTGAGCAGGGAAACAGCAGCTGTGCTGCTCAGGCTCCAAAAAAAAAAAAAAGTGGGTGTTTGCAAATAGAGAAATTTTAAAAATCCTGCTGAGCTGCTCAGCTAAAAGTTACAGGTTAGAGCCAAAATTCAGAGTTTATTTTTTTTTTTTAAATGAATAAATTTCTCCCAAGCTCAGCCCAGCAAAAGTTTCGTGGTGCTGCTCAAGCTGGGCTGGAAAAGTTTGCAACCAACCTCTGTGACCAGAATCTGATGTGAAAAAGTGACTTGAAACCTCAAGGAGAAAGTTGCATTTAACCCAGCCAGCATTTTATTTTTCAAAAGGCAGTGAAATGCTGCTAATGAAGTACTGTTACCCCTAAAAACCTTCCAGTTTTTGTAAATTATGTGGATTTAGAACATAAAGAAGAAATTTTGGCCTTTTATGGTGTTATTTTTCTGTGTGAACCCCCCGTGGTGAGGCTGAACTTACATCAGTATAATTCCAATTAATCACCACCCTAAACCAGGCTTCTTGCAGCAGGAACCTTTGTACATATGTAAAGAATCTTGATGTTCACCTTGTAAATATAATGTATTTTTATCAGCAAACTGAAAATTCTGCTGCAGAGGTGGGAAAAGAACCAATTTCACTGCTCTGCATCAAGCAGCCTCTTGATGATGCAAATTCATTTTGCTGGTGGTTTCTTGTGGTTACTTTCCACAAGTCTGGGTGATTTAAAGTTCAAGCAAAGTTTGTCACCACTTCCTGCAGATAACCTTGTCCAGAAACGTTCAGTGCAGCTGAATTTCAACGCAGCAATTTTCTTCTTTATTGAGTGTATTTTACAGCTACTGACTACCTGGGTGCTTGAATCTTCAGTAACAGAAGTGTATTGAATACACTAATTATCAATACACAAATCAATAGTTGAAGTGTACAGGGGGAAAAATGTCATTTTTTTTTAAATTTTAAAATCTGGCTGTAGAACCCTTTAACCAGCTGGCACCTGCTTAGTAATGGGATCAGAGGGCTATGGAAGAAAAAAGAGATTTAGTTTATATCTTTAATTTATATTTCTACCCACATGTAATAAGAAAGATTATCACAACTAATAGAAATATTGCCTTTTCTCGCCCCTTACTTAGTTTTATTACATATATTTAACATTTGAACCAGATCATTGCCCTTTCAGTCATTAGGAATTTACCAATTACTGCAGAGTTGCTTAAAATGTTAAGAATTTGCTAAAGCAGTAGAGTGCTAGAGCAAGAATAAGCTCATAAAGCAAATATCTTTCAGCCCAGAAGATGCAGAACTTTCATCCTTGGGTGTGAGGAAAGGGGAGAGAGGAAACATTAATTAAAAGCCCCATCCCTGGAAGTGTCCAAGGCCAGGTTGGACGGAGCAACCTGGGGTGGAACTGGATGAGCTTTAAGGTCCCTTCCACCCCAAACCAGCCTGGGATTATTAAACCTGTGTTTGTACAGTGATGAATTACTGTTATTAGCACTCAGATGCTGAGCTGTGTGTGCTGGGACCAAAAAACCTTCAAATTACCTCGTTCAGAGCTGCTGGGAGCTCGTGTCTTAATTAGGGTGCTCGGAGAGGGCGGCTTTTAATTGTGCCCCTGCCCTTTTCGGGGTTTGCCGCGTGTGTGAGGTACGGACGTGTGTGCGCTGGGGCTGTGTGAGCACAGCTGCGCTGTTTGGGCACAAGATTCCCGAGATCACCGCTGGAAAAAAACCGTGGGATGGAGCTGATGGAGATTTCCAGCAGAAATACGGGATGTCTTCATTTTGCAATTAGTCCTCGGAGAAGCCGGGGCGGTATTGGTGGATTTTCGGGCTGCGTCCGGGAACCGCTCGGACCCCGGAGCAGCAGGCACCGCTAATTACCGCCGTTTATTAACGCCAATTACCCGCGCAGGAATGGTCGCAAATAACGCGCAGCCACTGGAAAGCACCCACAGCCCTGGCCTTGGGACCCCCGGAGGGGCGGGACCGCGGGGGCCATGGCGTGGTGCTGCGGTGCCCCCCGAGCATCCCCACCCCGCGCGTTACCCCCCTCCCAACCCGAGCATCCCCCTCTCCCCGCGCGGGCGGACGCGGCCCCTTTAAGAGCCGTGCGCGCGCGCGGGGCCCCCCCCCCCCCCCCCCGTCCTCCCCCCCCCCCCCCTTCCTCCAGCTCCCGCGCTCCCATTGGCTCGCAGTAAATGGGCTGCGGCCGCGCGCGGCCAATGGGCGGCGTGTTGCTATGTGGCGGCGGGCGGCGATTGGCCCGCGGCGCTGCCACTCAGCCGCGCGGCCGGGTATAAGAGGCGGGGGGGGGCGGGCGGGGGCGGCGCTGAGGGCTCTGTGCGCGTCGGCGGCGCCGCGCTCGCTCCGCGCCGGGACGCGCTCGGGGCGACCGCGGTGAGTGAGGCACCGGGAGAGGGGGGACAGCGCTGGGGGGGGCTGAAGCCGAGGATCTGGGGGGTCCCGGCCCGCGGGGCGGCTGGAGTTGTGTGGCTGCGCGGAGCTGCGCCACAGCCGCGTCCGTGTGTCGCCGTGTCCGTGTGTCGCCGCGTCCCCCCTCCATTCACCTCGCTGGCCCCGGGGGGCTCCCCCCGCATCCTTCACCGGCACTGACGGAGCCCCTCGGGGCTGACGAGGGGCGAGCGGCCGCCTTTGTGTGCGGGGGAAGGCGGGAGCGGGTCGGTGGGATCCCCCCGGCTGGGGATGGACGGGAGGGACCCCCGGGAGGCAACGAGGAGCAGCAGCAGGAGGAGGAGGAGGAGGAGCAGAGACGGTCCTTCCTCGCCGCCCATCTCGCTGTAAACGCTCGATAACCCCTCGGTGGCCCCGCACGGAGCTGTGCGGGAGGCTCGCGGTGGGACCCCTGCCATGGGACCCCCGGGAAGTGCAGCATCTTCTCCGGGAGCGGGGCGATCCTGCCCCGTGTCCCGCACCAGCAGCAGCAGCTCTGTATTTATTTACCAACACTCCGGAGCCCCTGGAGACCGGGCCCTGCCCGCTGCAGGCGGTGGCTCCGGCGGTGACATCACGGCACGGGTGGCACAGGGCACCGGGATTAGCCTCTGCAAGGGGCATTCCCGGCCTTGTCCCGGGCACTTTTGGCTCATGGAGCACCGAAACCAGGCGCAGGGTGGCTCGGCCGGGCTGTGCGGCTGCTGTCGCCGCTGGTTGAGGGTGTAGCAGCCTCCCCTGCAGGGTGACAGGGTGAGGGGCTTCCATAGAAACCTCTGGGTTTGATCCACAAGTCTGAGCTGACGGGAGTAGCTCTGGGGCGAGCTGCGGGGTCGTAGCTTCAGGTTTTAACGCTGATTTTTTTTTTTTTTTTTTTTTTTTTTGAAGCCGAACCGATTCGAAACTCTGCGCTTTGTAAGGTGATTTTAACGGGGTGAGGGGGGGAAAAAAAAAAAAAAAAAAGAAGTGGAATCCTCGCCTCCTTCTCCTGCAGTTGACTGGAGCGAACCTGCCCCCGCCTTTGTGTGTAAATACAGCCCGAGGAGGGCCTGTCAGAGGCCTGTCAGCCCGGTGACAGCAGCTGGGAAGGGAGGGACACACACAGCACCTGCCCTGCTGCCAGTGCCTTCCTCGGGGCCTGCTCCTGCTCCGGAGGAGGATTTTCTCCTAATGCGTTTACAGTTACTTAAAGCTTATGCCGGGCAGTGCAGAGAGGCCTGTGTTGAGTTAGAGGGTTGTAAACAAGCAGATACTGAGGGAGCTTGACTTCTAATCCGTGAGAGGATTCTGCCTGGAAAGGATGTGTTTTTGTGACTTCATTCTTGCAGAGCACTCCCACTGATTTTTCTCTGAGCTCTCATCGTGTCGGATCCACGCCTCTGGTTCCTTGTAAACCTTGTTTGCTGTGTAACTGCAGTGCTGGAATAGGGAATTAAGATGTTCTCCTTTTCTCCCTGGATCCCTGATTCTTGTTTCCTGCTGAAAGGCCGTGTACAAGTGAGCGTTGTGCTTTGAAGCTGAGGTTGGGAATGCTCTGGGGAGGGCAGAGACGTTGCTTTCATCTGATGAAGATGTCAAGTACATCCTTTATTTATTTATTTAATTTTTTTTTTTTAGCCTTCTTTGCAGGTGTATCTTTCACAGTGCCAGGATTGGACTAACTGGCAGAGCTGTGTTGGGCCTTGAGCTCCCTCATGTCCTCCAGGTTCAGAGATTTTAAAAAAGGGATTTCTTTCTTTGCTGCTTGGCGGCTGTAGTTGAGTCAGGGTTGTGTTGAGGAAGACAACATCCCTACCTGTAAATCCACATTCCCTCAAAAGCTCCTTGACTCATGGAATGAATACCTGTTGCAGAGAGAGAATTTAATTAAGGAACTGGTCACTCTGGGTAGGTCCTGGCTGGCAGTTTAGAAAGTGGGAGCTCCTTGATCTTGCTGTGGTACTACAAAAGCATTGTAAGGATTGCAGGGGAGCAAAAACCATTTATTTTGTGTTCTTGCATCACCACGTGCGTGGAAGCCTCTTGAAGAGACACCAATAAAGCCAGGCTTTCATTGGGCTTTGGCCATTAATTGGCAGAGGTTTGTTTGCTTGAGCTTAAGCAGAGTCTTCATTAGAGGTCAGCTGTGGAGTGCTGGAGCAGAGGAGTTTAGGAGGGGTCACTAAGTGGAGTCTGGAATGGAGAAACTCAGTTCTCTTGGCTGCTTTGAGGCTGATCAGGGTGTCCAAGGCAGAACAGGGGAGCAGAGTCTATTTATCACACTGAAATCAGGATATTCAGCTTTCTTTTTCCCCCCTCCTTGATAGAGACCTGTAAGTTGGTCCTTCAGGATCCTTTTTTCTGTACCTGTTTATTTGCAGATCTTCTCTTCCAGATCTAATCACAGTAACTAACAGCTAAGGACAGGTTTCCCTTGCCTTCCAGAAGCCAAGGCTAGTCCATGAAGAGATGGGCTTATTCCTTCTCAAGGGTTTTTGAGTTCTTCAGGACAGGTTTTTTAGCTCACAAATCATCGTGTGTGTTGGTGGTGTGATGCCCACTGAGGATCTGGATTTCTGTCTCCCAAAACAAAGACATTTTATAGTTGGTCTTTTTTAGGAGAATAAAAACATGGTTTTCCACAAATGCTGTGTCTTGGGCCTGATCACATTCCCTGTTGCCCCCACTGGTCCCTGCTCTTCATCCTCCCTGGAGTTTGGCAGTTGGTTCTCCCCGAGTCTGTTTTCTGCCTTGTCATTTTGCCTTCTTGTCCCCATTTGTCAGGGCCAGCGGCTGTTCTTGCCCTGATTGTTCTGGATTCTTCTTCTCTGTGACCCTTTACTCAACAGCCACATCTTCCAGGCCTTTCTGAGAGCGTTTTCCCCTCTGGAGTGGGATGTGTTGGACATCAGGAGCAGCTCCCGTCTCCGGAAGCGTCACTGGACTGGCCAAGCCACTTAAGGCTGCAGGAAATAACATAATTAATGAGACTTAGTTCTCCCACATCTTGTACCTGACAATCTCAAGTCACTTGACAATGCTAATTAAAGCTAATCACGCTCCTCTGTTTTTAGTAAATAGCTATTATCCCTGCTTCACTCTTGCTTTAACAGATGATAGTGCCAGGCAGTGTGAGTCAGTGCAGGTAAGGGAGTGTAGGAGCTGCCTTCCTGTCTCCTCACACATCCAGCTAGACATCAGTCCTTTTACACCTGCTCAGGTGTTGTATGGCACATTAAAATGTGTGGTGTTTTGCCGATTCACAAAAATAAATTGGTTTTTTGACTCTTTTTTTTTTTTTCCCACTGACATCGTGACTCGCACAGAACCAAACTCCCGCCGTCGAGCGAAGGCTCAAAAAAAAAGTAACTTAAAATTTCAAAAGCTGGGGATGCTTTGAATTTGCCCTTCAGAGGACTTTGGGATCCGCTGGGAAGGGAGGCAGAGTGGTGTCAGAGCTCTCTTCCCTTCTCCTGTTTCATGTTGGCACTCGCTGCACCGTGAGGACAAAACCGTGGTGTGACCTGGGCATTTCGGAGCCCTGGAGCTCTGGGAGGTTGAGGTTTCACTGATGAAATATTGCTAAAGGATGGCTCAGGCAAGATGTTACTGAAAACAGACTGTCCAGCAGCACAAAAAAAAATAAAAAAGGAGTTGGAGTTAATAATTAACTGTGGGGAAATAAGAAATCTCCACGAGAGCCCCAGGAACTCCCATCTCAAACATTGGTCAGGGCTGTGAGGGGTGAGTCAGTTCATGTACCTTGGCAGTCACATCCAGGCTGGAGAGGATATCCAGGAGGAACTAATGACAAAAACTGGCAAGGTAACAGCTGACTTGACCTTCTTAAACTAGATTCAGTTATAAAGTGTCTGTCATGTGAAGAATCAAGCTCTAAATCTTCACCTGACTTTGCCCCCTTGACACAGTGTTGCTAAAGGAGGGTGAGGACAGTGGCTGAACTGCCACTGGAAGTTCATCCCTTGTTAGTACAGTAACTGTTGCATATAAAAAGTGTTTCTGGCAGAGATGGGTCAGAATTCACCACCTTGGCTTTCCTGGGAGAAGAGTGAGATGTGCCAGAGCAGAAAGTAAAACCCCTGTCTGTCCTGTGACAGGTGAGCTGCTGGGCAGGGAAAAGATGCTCCTGGGAAGAACCCTCTGAGCAAACAGGATTTGTGAGCAGGTGAAAACTTCCAGGGCTCAGCAAGGGCAGCTTGCAAATAATAAGTCATGACAGGCAGCTATGGCAGATCCTTCTTTAGTGTCTTGGAGGATATTGGAAGGATCCTTGGAATAGATAAATGTTCTCACCGTGTTCCCTGTCAGTACCCAGCTTTTATCAGGGAAACAGATGATCCACCCAGCAGACCCAATTAATTGAATCCTAGTCATTCCTGCATTTGCCAGAAAGGGAGATAATAGAACCATCTAAGGAGCACCAAAAAAATGTAATGATAGGAGATTATTTGGACAGCCAGACTGTTCTGCAATTAAAACAAATCAAGATGAGAAGTTGGGAAGATAAAGAGCGTTTCCATTTTGTCAGTAAATGGTCAGTTGGGTGGGAAGAGCTTTTCCTTGATGCCTTAGTTCATATTGGTGCTGGAATAGCAAAGTGAGGGTCTTGTTTCTTTTTCTAGAAGTCTGTATGTTGGTAATACTGGCCAAGGCCTTGATCTGTGGCTCCAAATGTGACCATCCCTTGAATGTGGGGCTTTCCTGAGCTGAGGAATTGTGTTCTACAGTGTGTTGGAGCCATTGCTGTTCCCTCACTCGATTATCTCCTGTCTCCTTGGCTGCTTCAGATGAAGGAAGGGCTTTCACCCCATCCTGGGGGTGCTGGCACGACTTTTGCAAAATGTAAAGGAGAAAATAGAGTCATTTGTGTGTTAAATTTTGTGGGATTTGCTTGTAGGAGCACAAATAAGTGCTCCTTGTTTCCAAGGAGCCCTGCCCAGCTGTGG